TTGCTTGCTTAAGGTTGTCCATCTATGGTTATGTTATGAGCCTCAATCCAGAGCCAAATTTTTGCCTTATCAAGGTTTCTTTTAAAGGATTATGCTATTACTCCCTCTGGAAAGGAGAAAAAAACCACCAAAAAAAAAAACCACAAAAAAACCCAAAAAAAACCACCCAGAACACTCAAGAGGGAATTGTCTGTTCTGGTACTTATTCAGAAAGCCCTTTGATATGGAAATCACTGGCGTTAACCCTTGTAGCCTCTGGTAACTCAGATGATGCCCGCAAACACCTAGACCTGTGGCCCACTGTGATCAAGGACTAGCTTGGGAGCCATCCTCTCTCTCCCTCCTCTCTCTGGCGATAGCTGAGCCTGCCCAGCTATCTGCCCAAGGAGTGTGTCTGTACAAGAGCCGAGGGGTCGCTGCTGCTCGTTCTCCCGGGAAGGACTGGTGTGCAGAGAACAGATCTCAATGTCAGCACATCTGCTCAGACACACCACAATAAATGGAAATGCCAGGCAGATGACCTGACAGCAGACTCATTTGCTGACCATCCTGCTCTCCTGAGGGACACCTTGGTTTCCACTAGTGCTCCAAGGTCAAGCAAAACTACCAGTGGTAAGACTACCACTGGTTACAAAGGTACCTCTGGCAGTGTGTGTGAGTCACTCTCAGAGGTCAGGAAAGGGCTTCCCAAAGCCCTCTTGGGGCTGACAAGCAGCACCTCCCAGTAAGGTCAAGCACAGTGTCCTACTGTTGCATCCTTGCAGTTGTTGCAGGCCCTGCTCTGGACCTTTGTTGATTCTGAGGATTTATTTTCTCTTCCAGAGGGTGGCTTGTACACTCCTGTTTGGTGCTCCATCCCTTGTGATTGTTCTCATTACATAAAGCCACTGTCAGACCCTATTCTTCCCTTTCAGACCAGTGGGGCTAGGCAGGCTCAAATCACTTTAATTTTAAGAGATTTTCACTTTTCTTGATTTGTCCTATTGACCCCCATCCCACACATATACTTCTATTTATGTTTTCTCTGGGACCTGAATATTTTGGGGTCAAAGGGAAATTCATTAGGACCACGTTGATAAATACAACTAATATGAAAAATCTCTAAGAATGGTGTCCACAGTCAAACATCTAGGGAAAATTAAGAAAAGGACAAAGATATATATGGCACATCCCCTGAGTGCTATCCCCACCTTCACCTATTTTCCACTCAGAGGATTTCCTGAGCCTAATGCAGTTTGCCTATTTGGTCACCTTCAAGAAATTTCTCTTGCAAGTACTTATTCAGGCTCTCAGATGTGCATCCACCTAAACTTTTTGCATCCACATCACTCAGTCCTTTGTGGGATGCAGAATATCAAGGCTGTTATTTGGTGAGGCAGTGTTGTGCTGGGGAACAGGTTATGCAAGCATATGAGCTACGCATTTACTTGCCTAGGGTGATGAATTTCAATGCATTGGAAGTTTTTTAAATCAGTCTAGAGCAACAGCAAGCTGCCTCAGAATCAGAGTGTAACAGTGAAGAAAGGGTGTCCCAGAGAGCATAAATGGCCAGATGTACCTCTGCATGCAGGAAAGGTTGCCCTGTTTTGCAGTGTGCCCAGTTATACCTGCACCTTTTCTTCATTTCCTCCAGGCACTTGCAGGACAGACTGTGAGTATTCAACACTATTGTGTTTCAAAGTTATAAACCCCCACACCCCCTAAACAGCTTTTCCTGATTCAGAGAGAAACAGCTACAAAAATTTTGAAGGATATCTCAAGCAAGTCAGTCTGAACCAAAATGACCACGTAGTTCCTCAAGAGACCGTGGTCAGATTTCAGCAAACATCTTTTCCCCACCTGAGTGGGGAAGAAGTGGAAAGGAGAAAAAAGCTTAGAATGGAAATAAAAACGTCAGTGATGCCAAAACCCCAGAGCATGCTGAACACACAGGTGATGCTGCAGAGCCCTCAAAATAAAGCTTCTGAATGGAAGCAGGCTTATGCCAGAAGGAGCTCACCTGAAAACCCCATCCAGCACTAAAGTGATAATATATAAAGTGACAGCTCTCCATGTTGCAGTCAATTAAGCATTCCTGGAAGATCTAGTAAATCAAGACAGATGCAAGAAAACTTTGATTAGTTGCAGAAAGATCACTCTAAGCCACCAACTTGATGGGTCTGATGGAGGGACCTACTGTCCTGTCCCGAGGCTTCCCTCTGCTCTGTGGAGGATGAGGAGGGACATGTGGCTGAGCTGCACACAAAACAGTGCCTTTCCTCAGCTCAAGGTACAAAAAACTGCATGAAAAACAATTGCATAAAATCAAAACTCGGACACTTTCCCTCCTGAAATTAGTGGGGAGAGGAGTGAAGTGCCAACGTGGAAATTCATTAACTTTCTTTTCAAATGTCATGATTTAATACAGTCCTACCAGAGGAGAGGGTACTGGTCAGATAAACCCAACTGGGGAAAACCACAGACAGAAATCTGTGGCAAACTCGACATCACAATTCCACAATCAAACCTCACTGAACACAATACGCCTCAGGCATATAAACTGAGTAGCAACTAAAAAAGCAAAATTTAGCATGTGCAAAGGAAGCAAACAGATAAGGAATGATATTGTCTGCCTTTTTAAGTCTTTCACAGGATGTATTCGGTAATGCATCCATGGCTGGATGCTGGGGTTTGACAGGCTGCAGGCTGCTCTCAGCAGCACCTTTGCCATCACTTCCACTACAGCTCCCTGCAAGGCTCCCTCTTGCACATCTCCAGGGGGCTGAAAGTGCCCTTCCTCCTGCCTAGAGTGAGGGGAGAAGAGGAGGAGCTGACAGCTGACAAGGCAGGGAAATCGCTTTGGCTTTATGCAGCAAACAGGTACTGGTCTGTCTGTAACACCTCTTGCCCTCACATGCCCTCTCTGCAGCAGCTCCCCACTCCCTCCACCAGGCATGGCTGTAAACTGGGCTGCCCAATCAGGCTTTTTTTCTTTTGTGCCACCATCAAGTGGCACACTGCTTTATCCCGTGTTTTAAGCTCTGTGGTCAAGATGTCCACAAAAATTTGCACTCACAGAGCTGAACAACAGTAATAAAAAATCACTCCCCACCACACTTTTTTCTGCTAAAAAGGCTTCTGTCACAAGGAGCACAACCTGTATGTTATGGCAATTACAAGGAATAATGGAGATGGCTTAGGATTTTTCTTCTTTTTTTTTTTTTTAAATGGACAAAGAACAATAAGCAGAGATGTTCAGCTTGGAGCAGACTTCCAAATTTTTCCCCAGGCTACATGGGCCCAGCCTCACAAGCAGTGTGAGGAGCTGGATGTGGAGTGCCAGTGTTAGAAGGATGCCCTGAGCTGGATGCAGGAAAACAGGCAGCAGCTGGAGCTGTACCATGTAACATCCCACATCAGGATGGTTTTCATACTACACAAGGTTTTCACACTTGTTTGTAGTATGCCAAGGCTTTTTTCTATGAATATCTACAAATCTTCTGTCTCATAAAGAGGGCATCCCTCAACTGTATCATCTCCTCTTCATAGTTTTTGTGAATTTTCTTTTTCTAACTTGAAAAACCCATTTTCTACATAGAAACAGGACATTTTGCTACAGTGCTTTGATCAGCACACTTTTGCTCAGTCATAGATGTTTCACATAGGTTTGCTTTCCCAGCTTTGACTGTTTAAGCTCCTTTCTCCATCAGGTGATGCATTCATGCATTGCTTTGCCTTTACCATGAAAAGCAATTGGGCATATGACAAGACAGACTTGTGAGATACTGCGTCATAAGAGAGTGGTTTTCATGCTCTTCCCAGTCTTTGAAAAAGAGAAAAAATATCCAGAGCAGAAGATAACATGAGAAGGAAGTTAAAAAAAAATTCTGAGATATTTTGCTTTTCTGCAGCTCTAGTTCATTGCTACATGATCAGCAAAAAACAGGCGGGGCCAATGGGCAGTGAATTTGGAAGACCCAGGAAAAAACACGATGTCTGCATGACTTAGAAATGCAGATAACAGACACACAAAGCACAGACACACATTTTTTAATCTCAGATGTAGGCATGGACTCTGTGTGGAAACAATCCTGGTCTCCTTTCAGAGATGAAGCACAGAAATTTGCAACTGGGGCAAGCAATCTGGGTGTCCTACAACAATCAGGTGTGACAGTGTGAGGTAGTGTGGTTTCCATCATGATCACAGACAGCCTACTTCCAAAAACTATTCAGGACAGAGGGAGCAGAGTGCCCTTCTGGAAGGCAGAAAACGAGGACATGGGGGGCTCTTAGGACTGCCAAGCCCAGAATTCAGGTTGCACAGAATCCTTCTCAGGCATCCACAAAGAGCTGTTCTGAGGGGCCAGTGAGAGCTCAGTCCAGGTTTCTCATATGCTGAGGTGAGTGACGGAGACTTGACTGCTCAGTAAAGCACACAGAAGTCATACTGATCATCTCTGCCTGTTCAGGATGTTTGAAATCTACACACTGTCAGACTAGTGCTCTGTGCATGACAGGTTCCTCCAAGGTAAAGCTGGGCCTGACACAGCCTGCAGGCAATCCCTGTGCTGTGACCAAAAGGGGAAACCCCATATTCCTCAGGAGGGTCTCACTATGGGTGTGCAACAGTATTGCTCTGTGTGCACAAGAGAGGCCACTTGCAGGACTTCTGTCATTTGGCAGAGAGGTGGCTGACTGACACACAGATCCACAGAGCTGACTGGGCCCGAGTTGGCCACCAGGCATTTTTAAGACAAAGTTTCAGCTCCTATCAGCTGTCGCTGCCCTACTGATAATGGGGTCATTTCCATTTGCATTAACAGAAGATCCTATTTAGATTTAATTACAGATTTGCTATACTCATGCCTATGGCGATGGGGACAGGACATTCAGGGATTTGGGGAGTAGATTGGAATGTGGATGTTGAAGCAATTGTTGTATCTCAGACCTACTCGAGCATGCTCACTCCTCTGGGGAGCTAATTAATTTCTCACAGAAAAGACAGATATTATCATGTGGTTTTTTTGCATTTTTGGATGCTTTATTTTAAAGTGCTGGTCTTCTCAGAGCAATATGGCAAACCTACAGAAATCCAGCTTGGAGTGTAAAATATTCTATGCTTAGTGTGTCCATGGCTGATGGCAGATACTGTCTAGTATGTCCAGCTGGTATGCCCAGGTAGGATCAGGAAGGTGATTATAAACCAAGAGAAGTGTTAAGCACAAGCAGACACAGGACAGTAGGTACCTGACAAGCAGCCACACGGAGTTCCTGCAACAAGAGAGAAGGATAAATGCACCCAAAAAAACCCCAAAAAAAACCACAGACACTGTAAAAAAACTCTATTAATATTAAAAAGTATCAGAACATATAATCTTTTGCAATTTTTTGCCCTGGTCAAAGCAGAATCTTTCCTTCCTCTTGCTGGCAACATTGAGTCCTTCCTTGGCAATAGTCTAACGCTTAACAATGGCTCTTGCCACCAAAGATTTTGTGGTGTAAACACATAAGGACACAGAGCAGAGAAACTGAATGCTATCATCACTTTACAGGTGGGCAACTGAAGCCTGAAGGGAACAAATTTGCCTGAGGACATTGTTATTCCTGTCAGTGCTCTTGGTCCACACCACTTCTCCATTGTTTTGTTCTGACAAACCCTGCCGTGCTTTTATGTGCTCCTTTTGGAATACCATTCCCACAGGTGAATGCTCCATGTTGGCAGGAACATCTTCCTAATGTGAAAATGCTCGAATTTAAATGGAAATGAAGCTTCACAAATTAAAAAAAAAGCCATAAGCACTTGCTAATTGTGCTTGGCTGTGCAACAGTGAAAAAATGCTTCTCTCTTCTCTGGAAGGAACTTCAAGATCCATCTTACAGCTTCCTTCCATACAGAAGCAAACTGAAGGTTACTTTCCTTTTACAAAGGCACTACAAGGCTATAGTAGAAAGGACAATGTGTCTTGGGAGACATTCCTGCAGTGCTAGTGGAAAGGGACAAAGAAAATGAGCAATGGTTGGTGACTGTCACACCACCAGCCTTCACCAGATAATCTATAAATAACTTCAGAAACAGCTGTTCCCTCACCACAAAGTGACAAACTGAAGAATTCACTCATAAATAGCTCATCTTCCTCAAACCTTCAGCCAAAACTAGGGAAATAGAGAAATGCCATCACTGGCCCCAAGGCTCTGGGAGTCCACATTACTTTGGTCCAGGCAGGTGGAAGTCCACCAGCAACCCCCCCAGCATCCATCTGGTGAGGGGAGTATGGCAGAGAAATGGATTAATGAAAGGTTGATAATGGACCACCCAGGGGGAGAAAAGCAGGTGGTTAAACTTGCTGCCTTCCTCCCTTTCTTCTTCAGGAGGAGGCAAGAAGGAGACATTTGCCAGCATGCACATAATTGCTGCTTTCTCAGAGGTGACAGGTGGGCAGATTCATAAGGAAATGTACCTGAGGCCAGAGCAGTGTTTGCACCCCGATTACTTCAATCTGCTGATCCACTAAGTTTGCATACACTCCACTCTACACTTGCAGCACATTTCTCCTTTTCACTTTCACTGTTTCTCCCATGGTGTTCCAGCACTAGTCAGAACAATCTTACCTCCATGGTGCTCCAGGGATGTAACTAAGTGTGCATGCAAAGAGAAAATTCTACTTACCCAAGAAAGAAGCAGAAGTTTTTTAGGTAGCTGGATTTCTGGGTCTAGAAAGCGAAAAAAAGACATGAATCACTTTGAAAGTCACTTTTCTAACTTCTAGGACAACAAACACTGAACAATTTATAAGGGTTTGCACACTAACAAAACTGAGCAAGGAGTGGAGACCCTGAGACACAGGAACTGAGTGATACAAGGAACCACTGGGGCTGAAAAACTCAAAAATTAATCTAATGAAACAAGGAGGTTTCCAGCTTGAAACAAAGCAAGATGGAGTATGCCCTACAAGTGGGTGTGTAAGGAGGGCAGTGCAGTCGTCTTTCACCTGTTTCACCACAGCTATCTTCTGGGTGGGAGAGCTGGGGGAGTTGTAGACCTCTCTTTCTTGTCTGTGGAGGAAAAGAAACACCAACAGAGATTTCATCTAACTCGGCTCGTTGCAAGTGCTCATTAACGAAAACGATAAAGCTGCAGCATGAGGAGGAGCTGCAACCTAACAGATGCCTTGGTTGTGGAGAAGAGTTTATAAGTGCTTCCCATTACAAAGGCAATTGCATTAAAAAGTATCTCACAGCAGCAGCATACAAGGTAAAGACTAAATCGATGGCAAAGCCAAGCAGTTACTTTGAGAGCTTTGTAAGAAATATTTAATTTCTCCCTCCTTCCAAATTCCTTTAATCTTAAATCTGATCTTACTAGACTGAACTTGTTTTTGTTTCTTCTCTAAAAGTACATGTTGTTATGTTTCATTTTGAACCTCTCTTTACTTTGCTTTGACTGGACAGAAGCAAGGTCCTCAAGAGCTGGGGACAGCTTTCAAAAAGCATTTGTCTCCAGCAGCACCCTCAGTACTGGAGAGCAAATAAGGATTCCCAAAATGCATTTAGCCTTCAGGAGTAACAGCAAGGACAAAGAGAGACACACACTGAATTTTGTGGCCCAGCACTGATATCACTTGACTGTTTTAACAAGATCAGGGTTTTGTTTCTTGACAGCTTTTACTGCCAGGCTGCTCAAACTCCCTCTTCCACCAAAGCACATGCCTTTTATCTTGTGTATTCTTTTTCATCTTCTCCTCCCTTTGCCTGCTTTCTGCTCCCAAGGTTTCTATTGGAATCTGCAACTCCTTTGACTTTTTTCTGTTAGCAAAAAGAAAGAGAATTATTTCTGTCATGATCATTTCAGGGTTGCTATGCTATACATCCCAACCTCCTACAGAGAGCCTCAAACCTCTTGTGGTGGGATATTGTACATTCTCATGTGTTTGTAAGCACCTAATTTGGGAACCCTTTTCACTTGGTCCACTTTCATAGGAATTACTGTATGGAACAACTGAATTCATGGGTTCTTCCAATCTTGGATAAAAGACAAAACTAAGCAATCCTGAAGTTGCCACACAGTGGTAAGAGAACGTATCAACAGCATAGAGCTAACACTATTTATATTGTTTTATTGCAGGAAAGTATTATTATTACTCGGTTTCTACCATCAAATGTGCTACCATGTTAGCAAGGTAAGATCTGGTATTGTCTTCTCTGATGACTTTGCCTGGTGGAAGCACCACAGTAATTAAAATAGTAGTGCCCCTCAGGTGTGGGGGTAGCTGTACTATTGCAAGCAGTAGATTTACTTCAAAATGCTTGTTGTTTTAAACTTTGTATTATAATTCAGCCTCTGTTCTTACAGTTAATGCGGTGCATACATAATATCATTGTACAGCTCCTCTCTGCAGAACACAGAGCACAAAATTGAATCTCAAACCACTTTAGAGAACTGAAAGCGGATCTTTTAAACTGGGCTCATAGTTCCTGCTGGCACATTGTACTTGGAGCTTAATTTGGGAGTGATTGCTAGAAGGAATACTTAACCACTCTTGTTTTCTGGAGTTGGAGGATTTCTGCATTGCAGTGCAGCTTGCAGCTGGGAAAGGGGAGAGTCAGAGGGAGAAGCCCAGTGCTGGGCTCTGTTCTTAAACATGGTGTTTTGGAATTCAAAAACCCTGGGTAACCTTGTTACTTAAAGGACACTACAGTCTAGTAGTGAGGTGAAGGGGGAGCATGGTTTAAGTGTCACTTGAACTCTCTCCATGAAGAGAGAGCACTTGCTCTGAAAATAAGCATGTAGCTGCAGGCTTTGCCGCCGCTGTTCTGGCTGCTGCTTTTGCTTCTTTTGTTCTCTGCAAAGTTATGCTGTGAACATCTTACAGGTTATTAGGAAAGAGAATTGAAATTAATACCCAGAGTATGCCCTACAACTTTGGTCTACTGAGTAAAAGAAAACCTACTCCTGGAATATGCTAAAAAATGAGACGGAGATTTCCAAATCTAAATGTCATTTACATTTCTGTGTTTGGGTGATTATGTGACAGAAAAAGAAGCTGTTCTACATAAATATGAGGTGCTTGTTTGATGCTGCATAAACCATATTAACTTACAATCAATAGCATGTGCTTCATGTATGGCAGATGTGGAAACATTCTGTACACTATAAAAAAGAAATACAGGATAGAGGGCATTGCTAATACTTACGACCCAAGTAGTTCAGAGCGCTTGAAGTGCTTGTGCAAGTTGTCTAGTTTTATCTTAATGTCCTTAAAAGTTCAAAGGAAAAGCAAACAATTTTAGTATTAGTCCATTGGTCTGGTGTGCAATAAAAGTCAAGTCAGAGCTTATTAGCATGAGATCAGCACTGGTGCTGCCCTTGCAGATATTATATCCTGCTCTCCCAAATTTGGTCTGATAGAAATCTACAGGAATCTGCCCTCCTGGTATTAGTTTTATATTGCAGTAACTTTCTGGATGACTTATGTTCCCAATAATACAAGGTTAGTTCTTTTAAAAACACTCCTGCTGGTTTGCAGACAATGGTCTGAAGAACTTCTAACCCAAAACTATTCTGTGTTGCATTATTTTTGTATCCTGGAGACTAATGACAGGCCTACTCTCCACACTCTTTCCTGTGCTAGATTTGACCCTCTTGCATCTCTATTTGATGCTCTGGTAATTACCTTTGCAAAAACATTCTAGAATGGTGATGGTCTAAATGAAGAAAGAGAACATACTGTTATATGCAATAAGATGTCATACCTTTAAGATTTTTTCCTGTTGTAGGACTAATTCTCTTGCTTCTGATAGTCTGTTTTTTTCCTAAAAAACAACAAAAAGCATAACTTGTTAAGGGAAAAGTTTTAATTTTAAAGCTACTTTTGGTTACATTTTCAATGTAAAGACACTACTAAAAAGCTTCAAACTAGTGCTTTATTTCCATCAAACATTTATCAAAAAAAGGATTATGTGATCACACCATGTGTTTGACAGTCTGTCTAGCTCCAGAAATTGTAGTTGGTCTCAGCAGTGATGGAAAAATCTTACAGAAATACAATTCCTATCTGTTTGGTAAAAAAAAGCAGCAGGACAGGAGGCAGAAGCTGAAGCTGGTGTCCATGCTGAGATAAATGCTTTGAGGGTGGCTATAACTTTTATCAGACCCAGAGGATGCAGAGAGACAAGCTGCTTGTGACCACTGGGAAGGCGTTTTTTCATCAGCAGCAGGAGCTAATGCTCTGCAGCGCCTGTGCTACGTGTCAGACTGGTGTGTCAGGCAGCTCACTGGGGACCAGTGGTGCTGCAGAGTCACCTGCAGCCCTGCTTAGCCCTGCTTGTGTGAGCCAACACCGAGGGCATGGTGGTGGGGGGACAGCTGCCTGTGCAGGCATGGACTTGGACAAGATGCCACTCATCAACCAAACTCCTGGCTCTTCTGCCGCTGCAAACACTGCACGGGGCTCAGCAGCTTGTGGAGGCAGAACACCCTGAGCAGAAAAACATCCTCAGGGGTTGGGAAGTGCAGGAAAGGCCTGGAGGTTGGTGGGACAGGAGCTGAGTGTGAGCCCCCAGGGTGCCCTGGCAGCAAAGAAGGGCAGCACCTCCCACCCCTTTGGGCAGAAGCACAGCCAAGGGAAGGGGTTCTCTTCCTCCCCTTGGCACGTTTTAGACCATTTTAGACATTCCCCATGGTACCTGATGCATGTCAATGAACTCTGGCAAGGTCACGGAGTGGCCAGGAGGATGGAAAAACTCTGTCCCTGGGGTTTTTACAGCCCAGCTGGATGCAGCCTTGAATGCTGTATCTCTGAGCTTTGAGTGGGAGGTCAGACCAAACACAAACCCAACCCCCAATACCTTCCCACCTGAAATATTCTGTGATCTAATGACTCTGCTGACTCATAAATCCAGATGGCTTGGTTTATGGAGGCCTTTCCTATATAAAAGTGTTGCTTTTCTGTATATTTGCATGAAATCACAGACATATGCACCATTTCAAAACTTTGCTGTAGATTTTGTTATGACAAGTGTTTGCATTTAACTGTTTTGTTGGGAAAAAGATCAACTGTTCCTACTGCAGAAAAAGAAGCAATCTGCCAGTCAAGGGGAGGGAGGTGAGGCAGGAAAATTAATTTGAAAGTCAAAACACTCTGTTTTTTCAGCACTGCACTTTTTGAAAATCTTATGATGGTTGAAGGAATATTGAAGATTTTAGTTCTAGAAGGCTAATTTAAATCCCAGATGTGTGTTCAGAAACTCAAGACACCTTCCACTGGAGGGAGAAGCCAAGGTTCTAGCTACCCTCATGCTTGTATTTTTCCCTATGGTAAAACACAAGAAGAAAGCCTCTTGTAAGGAAGTCACAGTTGTGTCCACAAAATAGGAAATTAGGAAAACATACATTTGAAAACTCTTCAGTTGCCAGCTGATATTTGTGAAAGAAAGGTGGACTCTGTAAATCTCTTTGTGGATAACTGCGTGCCTTGGGACCAAATAATTTGGGACCCACCTTGATCAGCATTAGAAGAATCCCCAAAGACTCAGTAAGCCACAAACTTGAATCTGCAGTTCTCAAGACATCCTTGCGCTCAGAGACAGCACTGGAAAATTTTGTCATGCCAGTGATAGCCAGCAAAATCTTTCCTGTGCCACTGTCTGGACAGAGTTGCACATCACAGAGCTGCCCTGACATGATCTTCATTGATCCAGGGCAAATCCAAACTTACAATCTATTTTTAATAATTTATGGTTGACCCTCAAACTCTTTCATCACGTATCATACCTATTTCTTTCTTCACAAGACCACTTTCATACCTTTATAAGTTTCTCATTCTTTTCTTTCAATCTTCTGAATGGCTCCTGCAAGCACACCTGTGAATAAAAAGGGTTAGCAGTGGGTGACGGTGGACAGAATGAGACACGAGACAGTCACAGGGTTAGTGAGATGGGAGACCAAACACAAATCTTGATGCAAGTTTTGCATGTCTCAGTTCCTAACTATAGATACTCCTAATGTTAATTATGCTATTTGGTTTTATTCCCTTCAGAAAAAAAACCCAAAAAAACCAAAAAAACCAAAAAACAAAACCCAAATCAAATCCTTCCCGTGCCAATTATTTGAGTTTGTTTTACAAACAAGAAGATGGAGGAGATGTGTGTATGTGTGTGCTCATAAATTCAGCCTGCAACCCATTCCTTACTGCAGTTATACATAGAAACCAGAGGAAGAGTCAGCTGAACAAGAGGAAACATCCTCCTGCTTGTTTTTACCAATAGCAGCAACTCTAGTCTCTGGCGTTCCTGTTCTGTTTTTATTACCAGCCAGTGTGTCTTCTACCTGCATTCTTCCCCAGAAAAACGCTCTTGCTCATGTTAACCAACCCTTGAGAAAAAGGGGTGTCAGGACAAGTAAAAATGTGCAAAATGTGTGTGCTACAGAATTTTCCAAATCATTAATGGCAGGGTAAGTTATAATTTGTCCACTTGCCTGCAAATTTTTTATGTCCTCTGAACACAGAACACGTTGCTGCTTGAGAAGATTTTCAAGGAATACAGAAATCTAAAAATTGAAATAAAATATATCTCATGAAAAATTTTTAAAAATACATGTTTTTAAAAACAAAAAATGCAGTGAAGAGTAGAGATTTCCCTCCATTGTCTTTATACAAGGATTTTGATTTGTTAGATCTGTGCATTTTTTCAGAAGAAATGACAGAAAGTTCCCTTCTGAAGCCTAGTCATGAAATCAACTTGCACAAAATTGTAAAAATTTCTAATTGTCTTTGCAGGAACAGCCATTTTAGTTATGCTTTCCATAAAGCATGCCTGAAAAATTAAGATAACAATAGGTGTCACTTAAGAACACTGGAAAGATGATGGCTGTTCTCAAGGTAAGTCCTTAAATACTTTAAAATGTATTTGGCATTATTTTCCAGTTGTTTTTAATTGTCAGGAAATTCACAGAATTTGGAAAGTAAGGAATGTAAGTACATTCCTTTTTTGCAATTAGCTAAAGCAGAATATTGCCTGGTCTCACCAGTTTTCTTTAGACATGCTGCTGTCAATAAATATGTTTGTGTGTGATTGTATGCATGCTCTGCCCCCTTCTCTGCCCAAAAGCACATGAAACAGAGGGTAAAAGGAATTTTGATTCTGCCAACTGCAGTGAGACCAAGACAGTATAAATGATTTGCTCCCATTTTCACCTTGAATCAGCTGCAGATATTACAAGAGGGTCTGGGGTCCTTGGCCAATGACCTATTAGATGTCTCCATCCTACCTCCTCTGCCTGCTTATCCAATTCTTTCTCGCCTGTTGGAGAAGTGAAGCTTGCAGCATCGTTCTGTTCCATCTTGGTCCCTGGGGACACAGGTAATTCTGAAATCTACAGAATCAGAGTGTCAGGTGAAGGCTTACATCTTGGGCCACTGCTCTGGTTGGATGAAAACAGGCAAGGCAGGAGCAAGAGCATTAAAACAGTAATCCAAATTTCACCATATCTTTTCCATTTCATTCCTGCTCCTCCATGCTTTTTGTTACATGAGATGATGATAAAATAACTGGATCAAGCCCTCTAATATAACACCACCTTAGTCCTATTTTTGACCAATGAGTGGTTTGGTGAACTTTCTAAAACATTTTATTGCATTCACATTTTTCTGTACTTTTTCATTGCTTGAATTGGCCAAGAAATAGGTTCACCAAATATATAAGGAAGTACCTTATCTCCCATTTATTTTAGCTGAACAAGAAGAAGGAAGCTGACAAAAGCTCAGAAAGAAATTGTGTTTTCCTGGTGAGATTTGAGTGGTGTGGGAAGTGCCTGTACTTCTGCTTGGACCTGCCTTATACACAAAAATGTCTGCCTCAGAACCTTATTATGCTAAACACTCTGAAGTTGCTTCATAGGATCTTAGAATCACAGAATTCTAGAAAATGCTGGGTTGGAAGATATCATCAGGACCATTGAATCCAGCCCTGACCCCATGCAGGACACCCCAAGAGTGACACCCTGTGCCTGAGAGCACTGTCCAAATGCTTCTTAAACTCTGTCAGGCTGGTGCTGTGATCATTCCCTGGGGAGCCTATTCCAGTGCCCAGCCACTTTGTTTGTGAAAAAACAGCTTCAGGCCATTCCCTCGGGTCCTGTCACTGGTCACTGTACCTGCCCCTCTTCTTCCCCTCATGAGGATACTGTAGACTGCAATGAGGTCTTTTCTCCTCTCCCTCTCCCTCTTCCCCTTCCCCTTCCCCTCCCTCTTNCTTCCCCTTCCCCTTCCCCCTTTCCTTCCCCCTTCCCTTCCCACTTCCCTTCCCACTTCCCTTCTCACTTCTCCTCTCCCTTCTCTCTTCTCTTCTCTCTTCTCTTCTCTCTTCTCCCTTCTCTCTTCTCCCTTCTCTTCTCCCTTCTCTTCTCCCTTCTTTCTCTCTCACCAAGCAACCTCAGCCACTTCATATGGTTCCCCTCCAGACCCTTCATCACCCTTGTGGACCTCCTTAGGACAGCCTAATGTTTTTGTCTGTATTGTGTCACCCAAACCTGCCCCCAGCACTCGAGGTGAGGCAGCCCCAGCTCAGAGCAGAGCAGGACAATCCCCTCCCTTGCCCAGCTGGTGATGCTGTCCCTGATGAAGGCAGGACACACTTGGCTCTCCTGGCTGCCAGGACACTGCTGACTCATGTTCTGCTTGCCATGGACCAGAACCCCCAGGATCCTTTCCACAGCACGGCTCTCCAGCCTCTCATTCCCCAGTCTGTGCACACAGCCAGGGCTGCCCCATCCCAGGTGCAGAATCCAGCACTCACCCTTGTTAAACTTCATATGGCTGGTGATTGCACATCTCTGATTTATTGAGGTCTCTCTGCAGAACTTGTCTGCCCTCACAGGCGTTGACAGATCTTCCAGTTTAGTGTTATCTGCTTTCTGCTTGCTCTAGAAGACAGAATAAAGAGAGAATTTGCTCAGGTTGCACTCACCTTTCGAAATGCTGGTTTTTACTGAGAATCTGCTTGTTTTCTTCAAGAAGTTTGGAACCCATCTTGCTGAGATCTTTCTTTGCACTCTGTGGATGAGGTCACATCTGAAAGCAGTATCTTCCTACAAAAACATTGCTCAGAAAAATCTGTTGTTTTACAGAAAACACTATGTCATGTCTCATCTCCTGCAGAGCTGGAATGAGATGCTCAGGTGGACTACATAATTTGCTCTCCCAAATTTTTCATGTCTGACAGACTTCACAGTGGGTTGTCTCATATATTTGTAATACCAGATTTTTTCAGATGTTGAGACAGGCTGGTACAAAACCAATCCCATTCCAAACTCTAATAAAGCAATGCAATTTATTTCATAGCACTTACTGCCATAAAACTGGAAAATACAAACACAAAACCTCTTGGCTCTTTTTCTTGTTCTTAAGCCACAGTAAGTCTAGTTTTCACTTTGGTACTGCAACTGTTGAATTTACCCCTATTCCCATTTTTTGAGATGACATTCTGGCATAAATAGGCTTGAGGCCATCCTACAGAATATAGGAGACTCTGCCAGAAAGAACAGTCCCCATTCAGGCTTTGGCTAGGAGGTTGCCACAGGCACAGGACTACACCTCAGGCCACAAGGGATGCTGCAAGGGAGGAGGCTGCAGCAGCTCACTCACTCAACTCCTGCTCAACTTCGAGGGTTGAGAAACAATTATATTTTTTCCCCACCTTGATCCCAAGCACAGAAAGCTCTGCTAGAATTCTGCACAGACTTGCAAGGACAAAGCAGTCTGAAGGGAGAGAATTTTTGGAGGTATTTCCTATGGATAGCTCACCCACCCTATTTATACAGCAAACTGAACTCTTCCTCTGGTATTCAAAGCAAGGATGACAGATCTAAACTGTGGCAGAGATTTGGGACAGCTGCCCTTCTCAGTGCTGCAACTGCGTGGCCACTGTCGTGGATGCAGGATGCCCTGTTAGGGTCTATGGGCAGGACTGGGGGCTCTGCAGCTGGGCATAAAACCAAAACCCTCCCCCGACTTGCTCCAAATGAGCAAATGTATTTACAGGGTGAGGGGCAAAAGGTAGGGGGTGTACACAGGGTGGCAGAGGAAAGGTGAGTGCCTCAGTCTGGCAGCATTGAAACCTCTTACATAAAAAATAATTTTTATTTTTACTGAATTTTTTAAAGAACATAACAAGATGAGAACAAAGATAAAGAAGGTTTCACATGGCACCTCTAAAATGCAGGATAATCCCAGCTAATCTAGACACTCACACTTTAATCCTAAAGATAATGACATCCCACTTCTCCTCTCTCTAAAAATTGCTTGATTTAAGCTGCTTTATGAACCTTAAATCTTTCCAGTATGGCCATCCAGGCCGAGAAACAAACTTTGATTTTTACAAGTTTGTTTTCTGTACTACCCACTAAATATTTGCACTGTGGAGGGGAGGAAGTGAAGGTCCCTCTGGACCTTGAGACATGTTTGTACCCTACACCACCTTTCACCAAAATTCATCCCTATCAGACAAGCAAGGAGAGGGACAAATGTAGCAAAAGGGCACAAAAAATATTCCAGAAACTCTTCTACACTTTCACACCATTCTGTCAACTAGACTTACACTTCACCCAAAAAGCTGGACCCTGCACCTAAAACAGAAAAAAACACCCATAGCAAATTAAAAACTAAGAAAAACATGGAGTAAAAAGTAACATCTAGAACTAGAGGCCAGTCAGCCTTACTGATGATGAATTATTTTCCAAGCATGGTCCCAGTTGTGTTAGGGGTGATATCAAACCCCCCAAGCCCTTGGGTACAGTGAGGTGGTGCAAAATAATAGTTCCTTAATTAACAAACACTGCTCAGCATCTTGCCTTTGTACTTCTCCAAGAAGAATCAGTTTTGCTCTCAATTGAAAAATCCCTTCCACCGCCCCTGCAATGACAGACCGCAGGTGTGGCCTTTGCACTTGTGGGTTTGGTGCAAGTAGGTTAAATTTCCAGTGTCCTTGATGGAGGAGTATCTTCCCCCATGGAGGGGGCAGAAGGGGGTGAATTGTGTGCAGTGCAGGTTGAGCAGGGCAGGCAGAGCTGCTCTTCACACTCCACCACAGCTCCCAGCCCCACCTGCAGGGATTTGCTCTTAGGGGTCTCCCCCTTTAGCAGCTCACAGATCCTGAACTCTCCATGCACCCCAGCCAGGTGTAAAAATTGTTGACTTGGGATTGTTATTTTTCAGCTTTGCTTTGAAATATCTTTTTCCTGATGGTCATTCTCCCAGTTACCTGTCCCATTGCTGGCATTATTAATTCTGGTTGCAAAGGGTGTATATAATTTCCCTCTTTGGTTTTGTAGCCAAGCAGCCAGGCTGCTGGAGCACAGATTGCTGGAGCTAGAGCAATCAATTTTGTAACACAGGGCTGCTTCACATTCAGGACCCAGTTCAAGAAAGCACTTAGGCAAAGGAATAATGACCAGTTTGAATGGGAATAATAGTGCTCAAAGTTAATTGTGTGCTTTTGAAATTGGGCCTTATATCATGCCAATCAAATAATTAATCTACTCAATTACAAGCTCCTGCTACCAAATACATGCCCTGGACTTTCTTTACTCATGCACCTAGGGCCTTGAAAAAACTATCAACATTCAATAGCAACACAGCAGAGACTTAAAATAATGTTGGCTTACTCCTTGCTAACTTTTACCAAGCAGAAAATTCAGTGTGCCAGTACTTCAGGGTCAGTCAGTCAAGTGCTTTAATGAGCAAATGGACTATATGCTAAAAGCTTAAGAGGGCATTTTTCTCCTCCCTTGAGACAGTCTCAGTGGAAACTGAAAACTATTTTTTGACCTCACAAGTCCTCAGATTTCTAGTATGCATCACAGTAGGTTCACCAAAAAGTAATCTGAGTCACAGAAGGATTAACTGTGCGAGGAACAGCAGGAAAGACAGGATGGTATCTGCAACATAATGCACATAAAGATGAAGGGAGTGATTAGAAGTGATGCATCCTTGTGAAGCCAGATATATTTTTACACAGGCATAGTCTACAAGCAGGATCATGCAACTAACCTCCTCAGAGCTCTTGCTGACCAGCAGATGATATCTTATGCTATACAGTTCTATTAAATTAAGCACAGAAACATCCCAAAAGAAACTAAATTAAATAAATGGAAGAATTTATTGATTAAAACATGTGTTTCTATAGGAGATGAATACAGTATCAAAACTTTCAATTTTTTCAACAAAACCTGCAATCCATCTGTGTTTGAAGTGGTTGATACAGCAAGCTGCTGGCTCATGACAGCTTCATTTGCCATGCTGATGCTGAGGTCTGTTTTGAGCAGCCCAGCTAGGCTGTCACTTTTTAGAGACAGTCTCTGAGGAGCTACAGATGCTAAAGTTAGATGCGGTGCTACATGCTAATGTATGAGATTCAATAACCTGGATCAAATGATTGCTGCAATCCATGTCTGACCAGCTGGAGCTGGCATTATTTCCACTAGTCCCCAAATTAATTTCTCACTTTAATTTTAAATGGAAGAATGATCTCGCTGTTGCTACTGAAGCTGTTTTAGATTCATTCTGAGTTTGTTTTGGTGCCTGTTTGCATTTTAGAGACATTCTGGGTCTCTGCATCAGCTCCTAGGGATGGGTTAGTGTAGAGCACTGAAGACTTCTTTTGAAGTCCACTGCCGTGACTGCAAAATGGGAACCAGAGAGCTGGCTCCCATGGCAATTTGCACTCAGTTTGTGCTGTGTAGGTGTGTGATGTTTTAGCAGGGAGCAGTTATTTTTAGTTCAGACATCTAAAACCCCTATTCAACAATGTTCAGCTATGGACTATGAAACAAGTCTGTAAAAACGAGGCTATTGCTGTGTTTGTGTATGTACATGAATACATGCATGTACAAGAGTAGGGAGGCAACAAAATATAGCTACCTAAGATAAGACACTTTTGGCTTTTTATCTGTTTCCAAGAAGCCCTAGAGATGGGAATGGCATCCAGCATTTCAGGAAGAAGCCATGTTTTAATTAGAGAGGAAGTGGGAGTGAAGCCTAAAGACATCTTTCCCATTAGCAGGGTGGTACAGAGGGGCAGTGACTGAAGCAGTAGCGGTGGAGGTGAGAGAAGAGGCCTATGTAATTAGGAGGATATTGTCTTGGCTCAATTCAAAACAGTAACAAATATTTCCTTGAAGAGGCATTGTCTTAATAGCCACGTTAGACTGCCAGCTCTGTCAGGCAGTGGTCAACTCAGCAATGCATGAAATACCATCAGCACTAGGAGCTCTCCTGCTGAGCCCCAGTCCACAAGCACATCCACAAGGACTGCAGTTTTAGGAGCTGTAGCTCAGGTGAAATATGTTTAGATTTAGTGCTCAGCTGACTTGATGGAAAGTACCAGCCTGGTCACACCGTTCACTGGCTCTCCTAAAGATTTTACCAAAACAGACTGATGCAAAAAAGGGAGGCAGAGTCTTCAGGCTGAGCATCCCAGACAGATATGGCTAACCCTAGCAGCTTGCTGGCAGCTGTAGTGCCAGCACTCCCCATCTCTCTGCATTCTCCCAGCACTTAGAAAATTGGAAATGGTGTCTCCCAAATGGAAGAACACGGCTCTAAGAAAGAACTAGACAAGAGATAGCTGGCTTTGCACTACTCAAATTTCCCTATTCCCTGAATTTGTATGTCTGATTTTGCAGTCTCAGTGGTTTCACATTCCTGACTTCTAATTCCTTTTTCTGCTTGTGCTCCTTTACATGTTATGGCTGTCTTCTTTCTTTGAGACAACTCTGGCTCATAGACTCACAGACCACATACTTCACTCTGTGAAAGTACTGAGCTGCCACTTGCAATCCCACACAGGACAGCCCTCCCATCCTCTGGAGGAAGGTGAAGTCTTGTGGTTACCACATGCAGAGGGCCCCACTTGAAAAAAAAGCAAGGGTTTCAATTGTTGTGTGGTACAGATGTCTGTCCCATTTCTGCAGCTGAGTGGTCATTTAAATTTCGTTTATGAAGAGGTTTCTCATTTGTGTATGGGTAAAAAAACTCTAAATCTGACTTCATCACTTCTTTGACACTGCATCATGACCTTTCAAAATTCAATTCCATTGTTTATTCAATGGTATTTTAAAAAAATCCTACAGTGCTATATCCATGTCTACTCAGAAAAGGATGTCTGCCATGAATGCTCAGACAGTGGACTCCTACATTTTGTTTTTAGTAGACACAGTGCTTAAAGTACTTTCACTTCTCTTCCATGTTGGTGGAAAGACTTGAATTTCCCTTGGGGTTTTTTTGTTTGTTTATTTTTTGGGTTTTTTTTTTTTAGGCTAGATTTGGCAACCATGAAAACCACACGTTAACATCTGAATTGGAATAAAGAAGGATATTTTTATGTCTTTCCTGGATTATCTTTTCAACACAAAGAGTTCCCAGGCCCATGTTCCAATGCTTAAGACTGGTAACCCTCCCAGCAGAACAAGCCTTCTGTGCTTTTTCCAGTTGAAGAGACAGACAAAAGATTAACAGACAAAGCTTTGGAGTTTCTTAAATTTACAGTTTTCTTTGCAAAATTAAGTCACACACTTCTTCAAGAAAGAAGCTGACACGTTGTAAATTTTCAGAATATATCTTTTGCTTTCAGAGGTTTCACTGCTTCTAATATCTGATCTACCCTTCTTATGTCTAAGCTGCTTCCCTTTTCTTTCTGACCAAAGACTTTGACCAGTTTTCCCTGATTAGCAGCACTGGAAAACGCAAATGGCAGAATTAGATTGTTGTTGCCTCAAAACCAGCTCTCTGCCCATAGACAAACTTGCTCCCAAACCTGGCTACTGCAATAGCAGAAGGTTGCTTTCTATTTCACTCCTAGCACAGCAAACAAACTTAGTCCTTCAGACATTGGAACAAAAAATGTGCCATCCTATGCTATGGGAAAGATCCCTTCCTGATATTTAAGGTCCCCTTCAACCCAAGTCTTTCTATGATTTCTATCATAGAAATCATAGATTCTATGATAAGCCCTCCAGAGAATTCATTGCCATGGTGGATAACTCGAGCAGTTGCTTTTGACCACTGCATGTTGCTCTTCTGTCTTGTGGAAGATACAAGAAATATTTTTAAAACAAATCCACCCTTCCTCTGTCTAGTAAAGGTCAGCTAAAATCAACTGTGCTCTGTTTTAACAGGAATCAATAACCTTTTTTCCTCTAAGAAGGGAATTTATTGGCTTTTCTCTAGAAGTACAATAGTCTTTTCAATGTCCAAATAATCTGCACATAATCCACTAAACTTTGATTCTAAGGGAAAAACATTCAAGAAAATAGTAAAAAGACGATGCAAACAAGTGTGACTGTGCTGAACACAACTGGTAATGTCTATGAACAGGGAGAAAATTTGTACTAATTCCTTAAGACATCTCTCTTATAAATTGGGTTAACATCTTGATACTGCAGCTTTTCAGTCTCCTTGAGGCCTTCCTCAGTCTAGACTGTTCTGTATTTCTCATTCACAAAACATTCCTGGATTGATTAAAGCCACAAAGGGCCATGGCTGCTTCTGTCCTTTAAAGTCTTATTGACTCTCCTCTTCATTGCTCAAATAGAATTCTCAGGTCTTCTGATCTGCTCTCAGAAAAACACCATGGATATATGCTTACAACTCCCATTTTCATCAGATGCAGAAGTAATCCTCACAGAGAAGTGCTGCAGCACAGAGTAGGAAACAACACCTAGCTGAAGACTGGCTCAAGCACTTTGGTGCTGCTTGTGCTTTCTTCTTCACAGTGAGACAGACATTAATCACAGGAGATTGAAAGGGGTTTGCAGCCTGTGGCATAGCACATCAAACAGATATTGGGTTGAACTTGTGGTTTGTTAATGTGCAGTTTCTGGGTTCTAGACAAAGGCCATGATAACTCAATTGGCAAATTCCAAGCTTTGATTATGAAAACTTTCTACAACCAACTAGGAATTAGAAGAATGCCTTATCATGCTCATATGCTTTTGACCCTTCAAGTATTGTTGCTGTTGAGCTGAAAAAGAATCAAATGTTCCTCATCTGAAAGAATAAGATTAGGAAGGAGCAAGAAAGAGAAGAAAAGACTGATAGATCAGGAGTTGCAGGTCTGTTCTTCTAATGACAATGACTTTGTCTTCACACATGACCCCATACCCCTTTTCTGTCCCATTTTGCTCCATTGATATACTTTATACTTAATCCTCCCCCTGCTGTGTTGTAAGACTATTTGAACACAAAAGAACTGGACACTAAATGTGTCTTGTTGACACATTTGTGTCTTTGTGACAAAAATGTGTCAATGTGTGTCTTGACACCAAAGAAATGCCACAAAAGTTAAATGTTATAGTGGTTGCATACTTGTTCTAACTTTTTTCTCTCTCTTCATGGATCTGTAGTTAATGGGAAACTTTGTACAGTTCTGCTGCTTTTCTCTGGAAGTGACGGTAGAATCAGGCAGTTTTCCTTGTAAAGACTGAGGAGGCAGTTGAAGGCTGGTTTTTAGTGTGAGTTATTGGCATGGAACCGTGGCATGGTAAAAAATTACTCCCAAAATCACACAGATGAACAGCAGCTGTCGATTTAAGTGCTGTATCTTTTACTGCTTACCGGAGGGATATTTTACTCTGGAGGAAGTGTGGACATGTCTGTGTCTACAGGTACGTAGCCTTGGTTGCAGCAGGGCTGCCAGCTTTTGTGACACAAAGAGTGGACTTGGCAGTGAGGTTCCATGCCCAACAACAGCCTTCTCTACACACTCACCAGGGCCCATGTGGCAACCAGGAATCACAGAATCATGATCATGGAATGGCCTAGATTGGAGAGTGACCCCGCGGATCATCTAGTTCCAACCTCCCTGCCACAGACACGTTTCACCAGACCAGTTTGCTCAGAACTCTGTCTAAAATGGTCTTAAACACTTTCAGGGATGGGACACTCATAACTTCTCTGGGAAGCCTGTTCCACTACTTCACCACTCTCACAGTAATCAATTTTTTCCTAATATCTAATCTACACCTTCCCTCTTTCCATTAAAAGCCACTGGCCCTTCTCCTGGCACTACTTGTTCTTTTAAAAGTCCCTCTTTTTCTTTCTGGTAAGCTCCCTTCAGGTACTGAAAGTAGGCAATTAGGTCTCTCAATAAAGCCTTCTCTTTTCCAGGCTGAACAATTCCAAATCTCTTGGCTTTTCCCCATAAAGGAGGTGCTATATCTCTTTGGATTCACTCCAACAGGTCTGTGTCCTTTCTTCTCTGCTGGAAACCCCAGAGCTGATGCAGGACTCCAAGCGGGGTCTCAGCAGCCAGAGCAGAGCAGAGGGGCAGAGTTCCTTCCCTCACCCCGCTGGCCACGCTGCTCTGGATGCAGCCCAGGACACGTTTGGCTTTCTGGACTGTGAGTGCACACAGCTGGGTCATGTCCAGCCTCTCATTCACCAGCACTTCCAGGTCCTTCTCCCCAGGGCTGTTCTCCGTCTGTTCATCCCCCAGCCTGTGCTGATACCAGGGGTTGTCCTGACCCAGGTGCAGCACCCTGTGCTTGGTCTTGTTAAACCTCATGAGATTCTCATGGGCCCACTTCTCCAGACTGTCCAGGTAGGTCAGGATGGCTTCCCATCATTCAGGAGTGTCATTCACACCACTTAATTTGGTGTGACCTGGGAATTTTTTAAGCATACACTGGATCCCTCTGTCTGTGTCAAAATTGGACATTTAAAAAAATAAAATTAAAAAAAAATAAAAAATAGGCCAACCACATCCTGGGCTGCAGTTCCCAAAGCACAGGTAGATCTTATCTCTCTGCACCTAATTCATAAGAAGCAACAGAAAAATAAAGATGAGTATAGTTCTCAGAGGTGACTTGATATGGGACAAGATGCAGTGGATATAAAACTGCAGCATGGGAAATTCCAGTTAGATGTTAGGGAAGAAAACTACAGTATGAGAGCAGTCAAACTTTGGGACTAGAGCCTGCAGATGATGTGACCTCCATTTTTTGAGTTATTCAAACTCCACTAGTCCTGGCACTGAGAAACCTCACATAAGCCAGCCCTGCTTTGAGTGCCTGGCTAACACAGATGCCCTCCAGAAATCCATATCTATATCCTAGGACTATGCAAATAGATGTCTTGAAAAAAAAAAAATTAAAAATAAAAAAAATGATAGAGCTACATTCTCATTGAAAGTGCAAGCTTTGTTTCTCAAAAATCAAATTCTCAGGAATATTTAATGCTCCATTTAACTGCTGAGGATGAGTAGCTTCTTAAAAACCCATAGCTTTTTTTTGCTTGAGACAAGAGTTACTGAGTTTCACAAGCCAATGTGAGAATTTCTTTTTTTTTAAACCTTCCTTCCAGTTATTGAAGGCAAAATATAGCTTATAGGTTAAAGCATGAGACACATTGGCTGAAAAGTAGTCTAATTCTGACTCAGTAGCAGACTTGTTAAGAAACTTTGAAGAAAATGTCTTAAGTCTTTCATGCCTTTCATACCATGTAATATTGGACTAGCAGGCTATTACACAGATGAAACAAATTCAGCGCTGTTTATAATTTTTGTATTTGGGTGCAATGGAAAATATTGCTGTACTTCTTATTTGAGGAAAGATATTATTATATCTTATTAACATTGATTTTGCTGTAATTTTTAAATCACTAAAAGAGTATTTCTAAGCTTAACTGGTTATTGGAAAAACAGTTTATTTATTGAACCTTGAAAAGAGCAGTTAGACATTGCTAGGGAAAGTATTCTATTTTCTACATCAACTATTGCTTTTTATCTTGTGGAATCTTAACATGGGGATAGGACAGAGCATTTAATGAGCTTTTGGATTTAAAAGTCCCTAAGCATATGCCCTTAATTTGGAAGAAAGAGAGCATCCTTATTCTGAACACTTTTATTATTCATACTGAGCTCCTGGGAATGCAACACCAAGATTTTGAAATATGAGTTTGTCCTACCTTGCTACTTGTTGCATGGCCAGGCTTTGCAGCTATTCTGCTATGCCACTGATAGAGAATGACATTTTGAAATTAAATGGGGTCAAGGAATAATTGCAGCTTTGAGGATACCTGTGTTGCGATGACAGATTTCTGGTAGCAGATGTATGAAATAGATACAATGAAGAATAAAGCCAGCAGTGTTTTATAAAGATGATCATGATATTTCATAGAAAATTCACCCCACATCTTCTTTTCACATGCTTTATTCTCTTCATTTATAAAAAGTTTGAGTCAGTACTTTTCAATTATAAAACAACTGCAGTATACAAAAAGCATATGCAGAGTGGATGCTTACATCTCTCTGGAAGACTACTGTTTGATAAAGAGCTAGAAGCATTTCAGAAGTATCAGAACATTTTCAGCCTTTCAGGATGCCCGGCTTCAGGGTTGCTACAGATATTTTATCACTGTATCTTGAGGAAAATTGTCAGATCTCTTAGTATTATCTGAACTGAGAAAGTCCTGCCAAGAGGCTGAGTGGCCTTCATACCACAGGAGAGAAATACCTATGTCTATATATAACCTCAAACACATACTCCCATGTATTATATTCACTTTCATTACAATTAGTCCTCTTTCTTTCACCTGTAGCTCTCTCTTTCACGTGTAGCCACTTACAAGAAAATACATTTCACAATAACTGGAAGTATTTAACATATAATGAAGAGAACATAACACATCTTCACCAATGACCCTGATAAGTGAGAAGGTAACAACTGGTCCAAGCCTGTCTGTCAGCTGTTTGTGGTTGATGAGCAATGGCTAGCACTTCAGGAAGCAGACAGAGCTGGGTTGCAGTAGCAGTTCCTCAGCAGCACTTCTCTGTAAAGTCCAGGAGTCCCACGGAGCGAGGCAAGTGTCCTGCTATGCTGTTGGAGAGGGGCTGGGTAAGTGCTGCAAAGGTCCTCAGCAGAGCTACTGAGGTACTGGGGGCAGACCAGGAGGAGGGAAATAGTATTAAACTCAAAAGAGAAGGCTGCAGATCTGTAAGGAGCTTAATGGCTCCTCGTGGGAGATAAGATTTCAGCAGAGCTGGGGGGAAACATTACAGGAGAGAAGTTAAAAGTACTTTAGGTTCTTAGTCCACTGCAGCAGTTGTGAATGTCATATTTTATTAAATCAGTGGAAGTAAAGTGGTAGTTAAAAGTATATTTTGGTATATTATTATTGCAGAAAGGGCTTCTCGTCTCCTTTAACAATAGCATTCACACTTTCATAATCCTTTCTGAAATTCATTAAAAGAAGAAAGTGTTGTATAGGTTTTTGCAATTAATCTTTGAACAAAGAATGAGGAGAAAATTTCCATAATGATTCTACTCATTCTTCATTGGCTCTGATATTTTTCATGATGAGTAAATTTTTCAGAATCAGCTCGGATGCTGATCATCTCAAGTCACCCCCATAAAAGGTTGCCAGATCTGCCTTCAGTTTGGCACATTTAGACACCATCCCTGATGCTCTCAGGCACTCACACAGCTCAGCAATGAAATGAAACCTCATCATGGGCCGCAGCAACAAGAGCCCAGACCAGCAGGTCAAGGACTACAGCAGGCAAGTCAGGAGTGTGATTATTCCACCCCATTTACTACCTGTTCAGCCCCACCTGGGATGTGGTGTCCAATTTCTGTCTTCCCTGTCCAAGACAGACATAGAAAAATTCAGAGAAGCTTAATTTCCCCTGCTGGAAATATTCAAAGCTCAGTTTGATGAGACCCTGGATACCTGTGTGTATAGCCCTGCTTTCAACAGGAGGTTTGACAGTAAAATCTCTCAAGGTGCCTGCCAGCCTGGATGTTTTTAAGATTCAACAGTCACAATCCACCCAGACTGAGATACGCCTGTTACTTTCTGCAAAGTCATGCAGAGGTACCAAAACTGGCTCTGGAGGAGCTAATTGAAGTGCAGAAGCCTCTAAGCCTGGAAAACAGGGATAAATTTGATGAGGGAATGTCACTCCAACACAGATTTATCACCAACTACCTTTTTAAAACTAGCTTAGATATTTCTACACAGCATTGTGTTCTAAATTGCACACAATACCTCAGGCTCTCAGGGCAACATGCATTACTTCTATATCCAACGCTGTACAGAAAGACACCATTAGAAAGAATGGTGTCTAAAGAAACCTAAAGAAACCATGTGCAGGCTGCTTCTGAATCTGAAACAAAAAAGTCCAGGGGAAAAAAACTTCAGAAAAAGTGTAATGCAATGCTAGAACCTCTCACCAATTTAATGAACTTCTTCCTAGCCTGGAACTGATCTCTGTGGCACAGCTGAAATTAAGTTCATGCAAGGATAATCTTAGGTGTGGGAATGGAATGAGGTCAGACACCCACTAGCATGGATAGGGGAAAAAATCTGAAAACTAAGTGGAGATAGCTTTTGATGCAGAATTTATTATCTTATTGTAAACTCACTGAAGAGAGTAAAATCTTTTAAGTTAAAATAAGAGGGGAAAAGTTTTAACCAAAATATGAGACATAAGGAAAATCTGGAGTGGATACAAAACAGGCATTGCTTTATCTGCACTTACTGTGCTAGAGGTACTTAGTAGTAAATGGTGAGCTCTCTCACCATGAGGGCTGTAGAAATCATTGAATCACTTTCATTGATGATCCTGATTTGATGGTGCAGAGAGAAAAAGGCAGCAGTGGAAATTGCTACTCAGTGAGCTGTTGCTTCTCATTTTCATCTCAGTTGCACAATTAAACAC